ATTCATCCATTTATATCAGCATGGACTCACAGGTATTTATTTTACACTTCGGCATATAATCTCAAACTACTTAATTTTGTTGCCAAGCAACTCTTCGTTGCTGTGGCTTCTCTGTACCGCTTTTCAGACTAGAGGTGGACAAGGGGCATGGGTGGGTTGTAAAAGGTCTAATTATACCAAGTTGCCAACCTTGTTTTCCTTTCTGGAAGGAGAGTTGGGAAAACTCTCCCAACTCATGGGCAACAGGAGGCAGGTTAAAGAGCCCAGTTTGGGCCAGGCGTGGAGACTCACGCCTATAATCCCAGCACTTTGGGAGGCCAAGGTGGGAGGATCACTTGAGCCCAGGAGTTCAAGCCCAGCCTGGGCAAGGTGGTGAGATGCTGTCTCTTGAATAAGTAAATAAATAATAAATAGCAGGCTGGGCGTGGTGGCTCATGCCTGTAATCCCAGCACTTTGGGAGGCTGAGATGGGAGGATCACAAGGTCAGGAGATAGAGACCATCCTGGTTAACATGGTGAAAATACAAAAAAACTAAAAATACAAAAAAATTAGCCAGGCATGGTGGTGGGCACCTGTAGTCCCAGCTACTTGGGAGGCTGAGGCGGGAGAATGACGTGAACCCGGGAGGCGGAGGTTGCAGTGAGCCGAGATCGTGCCACTGCACTCCAGTCTGGGTGACAGAGTGAGACTGCCTCAAAGAATAAAAATAAAAAAAATAAATAGCCCTGTGTGACTGCCAGCCCCTCCTGTCTTAGGCTCAGCCTGCACTAAGCAGCTAGGAGACAGAGGCCTTCCATGGGCATGGGCTTGGCACTCCTCTCCGGGGAAAGTGTTAATCTCCTTTTCCCAAAGAGGCTGATCCCATGGATTCCAGTTTTTTGTTGTTGTTTTTAGAGACGTGGTCTCACTCTTTCACCAAACTGGAGTGCAGTGCAGTGGTGTGATCATGGCTCACTGCAGTCTCAATCTCCTAGGTTCAAGCAATCCTCCTATCTCAGCCTCCCAAGTAATGGACTACTGGTGCGTGCCACCACGCCCAGCTAATTAACAAAATTTTTCTGTAGAGATGGGTCTTGCTGTGTTGTCCAGACTGGTCTTGAACTCCCAGGCTCAAATGATCCTTCCCACCTCAGCCTCCCAAAGTGCTAGGATTACAGGTGTGAGCCACAGCACCCCACTGGATCCCAGTCTTAAGGCTGAAGTGAGTAAGTGCTTTGAGAACTCCATGTTCACTTACCTGCTGATTACAGCAGGGCCCTGTTCTAGAAGGCTTCTGTGCCACAAGGCCAGGGCAAGAGGGGGCTAATTCCCCAGCACCCTGGTCCCTTCACATTCCCATTGGGTTTTTCTACCTGAACCTACCATGCACTTCTTTCTCTCCCACCTTCCACTCCCTGCTGACTCCCCATCTACAATGGGATCTTCCTGCACCTAAACCCCCACAGCTGGGAGTGGCAGCATGCACCTGTAGTCCCAGCCACTTGGGAGGCTGAGGTGCGAGAATCACTGGAGCCTAGAAGGTTGAGACCAGCCTGGACAACATAGGGAGATCTCATCTCTAAAAAAATAAAAGCCCCCCTGTGCCTTGGGCCTGTTCCCCATTCTCGACACCCATGAGCCCCTGTTTCCCTGCTCAGTCCTGATCAATCCCATGCTCACCTCCTGGCTTCTGGTGTGCTTCACCACCCCACAGGCTCTGAGCTCCCAGAAGGCAGGCTGGGCATCTGATCACCTGGCCCTCTTCCCTCCAGGTTGAAGTCAAGGCCTCCTTTCTCTGCCCTCAGGAAGCTAACGCTACAGACAAGGGGACTGAATACAGTGGTATCTCGGAACTGAGCTGTTAGGGTACCTAGCTCCTTCAGGCCTGTGTGGCAAGAAGGCAGGGGAGAGGCTAGGCTATGACTGTTGTGTGCCTCAGGGAGGAAGCAGACGCCCACCTGCCTTGGTCCCTCTTGGTCCCACCCAGCCTTGCCAGATTCTCAAGCCTGGGAACCCAGCTGTGGGTGCCCAGCCAGGTCGTTGGCGGGGCAATTAACACACCGAATGAGTGCCAACAGGGTTAATCATGGCTGCATTTATAGAGGTGCCGTTCTCTGAGAACCTCCAAGCTTTGCTTTGTATGATCTCATTCCTCTTCTGGAATCCCCCACCCTGGAATGCCACCAAGAGGCTGGGGCCAGGCAGAGAACGGGTGAACAGGGGGGTAAGGGCAGTGCCGGAAAAAGCCCAGGCTGCTGCCACCCACTTGGGCAGGCAGGTGGATGGACAAGTGTTTGCTCTGGCAGAGAATAGGGACCTTCGTTCAATGCGCTACACATAAGAGGCCCACGTGCCATGAGCCAAGTGCTCGGACTGTGCCAGGGCCTGCTCTGGAGCCCACATCCAGCATGGCAGACCCACATCAACAGCACGGATAGGTGTTTTACAGTGTGCCCCTGATTCCTTCAGGAGTGCAAACTGGGCAGTGGCTGCAACTATAGGGGTCGGGCAACGAGTTGCCGAAGAGACCTCAGAGCAGGTGACCTTAGGGGTAGATCCTCAGGAAGGGGCTGAGGGAGTTCTGAGCTAAGTGAATGGCCTGACAGGGAATGGTTGTGGGGAGCTGTGTGTGATGAGGATGCCTATCCTACGTGAGTGGCATGGGGTCAAACCAAGGAATTGGGGGCTTAGTTGAAAAAGGTAGGCCGGGTACAGTGGCTCACACCTGTAATCCCAGCAATTCAGGAGGCCAACTTCGGAGGACTGCTTGAGGCCAGGATTTGGAGCCCTATTTAAAAAAATAAAAGGAAAGAATAGGTATTGAAAGTCAGCAGAAGTTTTAAAGCAAGGGAATTAACTATTTTAGATCATTCCGGCAGCAGGGCAGAAGGGATATGGCCAGAGGAAGAAACACCGGGTGAGAGGCTGAGTTGATTCAGGTTTAAGGCATTGCATTGAGGGGCTGAACTTGAGGCGGCGCCTGAAAATGTGAGGCTGGGAGCTAGAACTTGCTTGTGGGAAGGGCCTAGGGAGAGGAAGAAATAAAAGACCACTGGGCAAGGCGCTGCTGCAGGGCCAGGAGGCGGGACAGGTATCAGGAGGAGCCCCAGACGCAGAGGGGACAGACCAGCCCTGCCTGCAGGCCGCTGTGCACTGAGTGAGCTCAGGGTGAGCAGAGCTTTTGAGGCAGTGCCCTCCCCTTCCCCAGCTTGGCAGGCACACCAGCTTGTGTGGTTTCATGGCTTCATTCCTCCCCCTAGAGGCTCCTGGAAGCACAACTGCTTTTTCTTAAGAGTGAACAGGTCTGTGGCTTGAACATCTCAGGTCCATTCCCAGAGTTTCCAGCTCAACCCCTTGGCTCTCCTCAGGCCAGCCATGTAGCCCCCTTAGCAACTGGGTTAAAAAAATAAATCAAGAACGATTGAAGGGGCCGGGAACTGTGGCTCACACCTGTAATACCAACACTTTGGGAGGCTGAGGCGGGCAGATCGCCTGAGGTCAGGAGTTTCAGACCAGCCTGGCCAACATGGCAAAAACTACTACTAAAAATACAAAAATCAGCTGGGTGTGGTGGCGTGTGCCTATAATCCCAGCTACTCAGAAGGCTAAGGCAGGAGAATCGCTTGAACCCCAGGAAACGGAGGTTGCAGTGAGCTGAGATCACGCCACTGCACTCCAGCCTGGGCGACAAAACAAGAAAAAAAAAAAAAAAAAAAAAAGAATGATTGAAGGCAGTTTCTAGAGACCAGTCTGTCCTGCTTAGAGAATGGGGGAGGCTGCCAGGTGGCTGCAGCAGCTGAAGCCAAAAAGTGCACCATCTTTTTTTTTTTTTTTTTTTTTTTTTTTTAAAGAGATGGAGAGGTGGGGGCGGTGGCTCATGCCTATAATCCCAGTACTTTGGGAGGCTGAGGCGGGCAGATCACGAGGTCAGGAGTTCGAGACCAGCTTGGCCAACATGGTGAAACCCTGTCTCTACTAAAAATACAAAAAATAGCTGGGCATGGTGGTGGGTGCCTGTAATCCCAGTTACTCAGGAGGCTGAGGCAAGAGAATCGTTTGAACCCAGGAGGCAGAGGCTGCAGTGAGCCAAGATTGTACCACTGCATTCTAGCCTGGGCAATGGAGTAAGACTGTCTCAAAAAAAAAAAAAAAAAAAGATGTAGGTCTCAGGATGTTGCCCAGGATGGTCTCAAACTCCTAGGCTCAAGCGATCCTCCTGTCTCGGCCTCCCAAAGTGCTAGGCTTACAGGCATGAGCCACCATTCTTGGCCCAGAGCACAACATCTATGTGGGGTTCTGGCTCTGCCTATCACAAACTGTGACCCTGAGCCAGTAGATTACTTTGTTAAGCCTTAAATTCCTCATCTGTAAAACAGAGATAAGACCACCCATCTCAGAGGCATTCAACTGTGAAAATTTCATTTATTGTCCAAACCAAGTTTACTAATTACTGGGTGGGCTAGGAAGTATGGTCCTCTGGGTGAAGGTGGATATGAATGTGATTTAAACACCGTAAAACTCTGTGCACATGTACAGAGTTATTGCTGTTACTGCAGATGCTGGGAAGAGCTGCTCACCTACTCAGTAACTATGCCTTGACCTCCCCTTACCTCCTGTACTGAGATCAGCCCTATCTCCTCCACGTGGGCCAGTGGTGGCTTCTGCCCTCCAGTCAACATCAGAGAGGCTGGAGGCACCTTGTCTTCCTCCCAGCCCTGCCCATCTCCATGACTGACCTGTTCGCGCACCCCGGACCTTGCCAACCCAAGATGCTCACTCTAGGGATGAAGGTGGATGCAGATGCTGGGGTTCAGGGGTGGCCTCAGCTGAGGGCCTGCTGACCAACCAAAGGGTATCAGTAGGGACAGGGGCTGGCCCTCACCCTGGGCTGGGGGTTGGGCCAGCAGCTTCTCAGCACCAGGATCATGACTCTGAGCAAACTGTGTTTACCAGAGCAGAGAAGGACCTATTTATAGCCTCAGCTGCTGCTTTCTCTGGCTCACGGTGGAGGGGGCAGGGTGGCTTCTCAGAGCAAGGGAGGTAGTCGGGTCGAGGGAACCTGGCTCTGCCCAGGTGCCACTGCTCCAAACCCTGGGCCCCATCCATGGCAAGGGAGACCTTCCCTTTCACCTCTTCCACGCTGCGCTCTCTCCGCCTGCAGCGGGAGTGGCTGGAATGGGAGGACCGGCGGCGGGCAGCTGCCCAGCAATGCCGGAGCCGCAGGTGCCCGTCAAGTCCCCGGGCCCGACTCACTAGGCCTCACCGTTCCTGCCGAGACCCAGCTGTCCACCATGCCCTGTTCTCCGGCGACCTGCAGCAGGTCCAAGCCCTGTTCCAAGATGAAGAGGCCGCCAACATGATTGTGGAGACTGTGAGCAACCAGCTGGCCTGGTCAGCTGAACAGGGTAGGGGGCACCAGAAGAGGGCAGAAGAGGAGGGAGAAAGAAGGGGAGTGGGTGGGGAGGGGGGAGAGTCTAGGGTCCCCCTTCTCTGCAGACCACAGACTATAGCAGCCCTTTCCACCACCCATCCTAGCTCCCTCCTAAACAGAGATGAGGCAGAGTTAGCAGTCTGTATGTCTTTTAAGAATTAAAAGTTGGCCGGGCGCAGTGGCTCACACCTGTAATCCCAGCACTTTGGGAGAACAAGGCGGGTGAATCACGAGGTCAGGAGTTCGAGACCAGCCTGGACAACATGGTGAAACAAAACCTTGTCTCTACTAAAAATATAAAACATTAGCATGGTGGTGCGCACCTGTAATCCCAGCTACTCAGGAGGCTGAGGCAGGAGAATCGCTTGAACTCGGGAGGCGGAGGTTGCAGTGATCCAAGATTGTCCCACTGCACTCCAGCCCAAGCGACAGCATGAGACTCTGTCTCAAAAAAAAAAAAAAAAAGGAGGTAAAAGTTATATTCTTGGCCTGGGCACGGTGGCTCATGGCTGTAATCCCAGCACTTTGAGAGGCCAAGGCGGGACTACTGCTTTAGACCAGCTTGAGCAACACAGAAGACCCCATCTCCACAGGGGAAAAAAAATACATATGTATATATATGTGCATAAATTCCACTGTAGAGGCATCTGCCATGAATTTTATAACTAGCCCCCAAATCGATTGGGTAGATTTTTTTTTAAACTATTTTAAATAGCAGTATGATGAACATCTTTATGTACTTGCCAGATGATATCCTTAGAATATATTCTGGCTAGGCTGGGCGCAGTGGCTCATGCCTGTAATCCCAGCACTTTGGGAGGCCAAGGCGGATGGATCACGAGGTTAGGAGATTGAGACCATCCTAACATGGTGAAACCCCGACTCTACTAAAAATACAAAAATTAGCTGGGCGTGGTGGCGCGAGCCTGTAGTCCCAGCTACTTGGGAAGCTGAGGCAGGAGAATAGTTTGAACCTGGGAGGTGGAGGTTGCAGTGAGCCAAGATCACACCATTGCACTCCAGTCTGGCAACAGAGTGAGACTCTGTCTCAAAAACAACAACAAAAAGGGCCTGGTGCGGTGGCTCACACCTGTAATCCCAGCACTTTGCGAGGCCAAGGCGGGCAGATCAGGAGGTCAAGAGATCGAGACCATCCTGGCCAACATGGTGAAATCCCATCTCTATTAAAAATACAAAAATTAGCTGGCCATGTGGCACCTGTAGTCCCAGCTACTTGGGAGGCTGAGGCAGGAGAATCGTTTGAACCTGGGAGGCGGAGGTTGCAGTGAGCTGAGATTGTGCCATTACATTCCAGCCTGGGAACAGAATGAGACTCCGTCTCAAAAAAAAAAATACATATATATATATATGTATTCTGGCTAGCGGGTCTGTCCAGGTTAACTAAATACCTTAGCTGAGATCACCACGATCTCAAGATTGACAGGAGATTGCTTAAACCCCACCCATGGATCTGGGGCTTGAGTCCTTGGGAGAGCATGAGCTCCCTCGGTTACTACAGGTTCCAAATTCCTGCTTGGCTGTGACCCCACCAGGGCATCCTGGTCTTGTCCTGCAGCTTGTCCAGAATCCCCACGATGGAACTCAGCCTTAATTTCAAGTCTACTAAGAAACAAAACATGCTTTACTCAAGATTTAGAAAAGCCAGGGACAGACTGTGCTGCCATGCAAACAACTTCTAGTTTGATATGAGGCATCTATGCCTTTTAAACAAGTCCCTGACCACTGCCACCATTCAAATCCAACACTAGTCCCACGATTACCCTCTCCTCATTCTTTTCCCATCCCCACCTCTTATTCTCCCCCTTCTCCCTTCCCCCTATTTCTGAAGGGGTGGCCTGCCCCTCCACACCTGTGGGCGTTTCTTGTTAGGTGGAACGAGACACTTGAGAAAAGAAATGAGACACAGAGACAAAGTATAGAGAAAGAAAAAGTGGGCCCAGGGGACC